CCTGGTGATATTCTAAACAAAAAGTTTTCTGAAACAGCCTTGTAACTATTTCCATTGCTTCGCAATGACTGTACCGACATTCTAGGCTTCAGAGTGAAGTTTGGGGTTATTGTTTGTACCGATTATTTTGTTGGGTGGGTGGTTCTGTTCCTTTGTGTAGGGGTTGGGTTATGCTGGACGAGTTGTATTGATTTGTGTTGGTGGCGAATGAGAGGTGTGTGCTGTGGTAAGGGGTTACAAATGTTAAAGGGTATTGTGTGTGCTGGTTGTGTTGTTGTTTGGGTGGTTGTGTTGATTTGTGTCTGGGGTGTTCTCTTGGGAGAGCTCTGTGGATTTGCACAAGTGGCAGTGGGGATCTGTGCGGTCTCCCTCGTGCAACCCTTGAAATTGTTGCATGCAGATTAGCTGTAAAGTAAGGGTGGTAATTGGCTAAATGACTTCTAATATCACAATGGTCTAGCCTCTTGGTATGGCATAGATACATGCCTTACTGTAGTTGTACATTACATCGGTGTTATTTGTATAGTCAAAATGGCCGAAAGCTTAAAAATTGGATGATAACAGTCAACAAAACCCAGTGATGATTCAACCTGGTGATGTTATGAACAAAAAGCTCTCAGCCATCCTTCTGGCTCTTTCATCACTTTATACTGACTCACAGACATCATAGACTTCAGAGTGAGAACTCTGGAATTGCATTTTATTTTATTTTATTAAAACAAACACATTAAGGGTAGCTTCTATTTACTACAGATTGAAACAGTCTGACACTTTGACATTTTCAACAAGAAAATAAGATAAAGACCCAGATGTTTAAAGATATTTAGATGCTTAGTGGGATTTCCAAAGCACCTAGGCTCCTAACAGCCACTGAATTCAATGGGTCTCAGGCATCCAGATGTTTTTGAAAATCCCACTATGTGCCTCCTTTAAAAATCTAGCCCAACCTTTCAAAACATCAAACCACTTCATTACAACTCAATCAGGAGACCCTTTGATCTAGACCAGTGGCAGTGGTGAAAGTAGAATTCATTTCTTACCAGTAAGCTGCACCAGCTCAAGGGGGGAGTATGTGACCTCCCCACGTGACCCCCCACATGACTCCTCAAGTGACCCTACCCACCCTCAGCCCAGGGCCCCATGCTCTCTCCCTCCCCTCCCCATAATCCATCCCACATTACCTGCGGGGGAGGGCTCTGTCCTCCTCCCAATGCACCAGAGACTTCTGAACTGCATGGCTCTCCGGAACCGCAGCAATGAAAGGAACAGAATGTGGGGCCAGCCCTGTCCTCTGGCAGGGATGCTGTACAGACCTCGGACAAGAGACCGAGGCACGCTGCTGCGTGGAAGGGCTGGGGGCGGGGTTGGGGGCAGTACAGCCACGCTGGAGTTGCTGCACATTCTGCTCCTTTCGCTGCTCCAGTTCCTGGGAGAGCCCTGCAGTTCAGGGCTCTCCCGGGAATGGCAGCGGTGAACGGAGCACCCATGCCAGCATCTCCTCTGGTGCAGCTGTACCGGTACCACCTCCAGTCCCACCCCCAGCCCTGTCCTCCAGCAGGGCTGCCTACAGACCCCAAACAGTAGATGCTAGACGCAGCTGCATGGAAGGGCTGGGGGTGGTACAGCTGCGCCGGAGGAGTTGCCAGCGTGGGGCCGCCCGGCGTCTTTGCGGTACTCCATACCGGCTATAAATGTCTTACTGATATGGTGTACTGGACCATACTGCCCTACCTGCTCCACTGACCAGTGGTTCTCAACCTGTGGCTCACAGGCTGCTTGCATCCTAATCAGCACATAGCTGCAGCCCATATGATACTCTCAGGGCCATACAGGTAGTATATATATTGTGTGGATGTGGCTCACATAACACAGAGAGAGCTGCATATGTGGCCCACAATGGTAACTAGGTTGAGAACCACTGATCTGGACAATGACATGTTTCAGTCTTTACTAAGCTGCAGCTGCTGTTAATGTATTTTGGGTATGGACACTGCAGAAACTGAGATCAAAAGATTTTGGTCTTTTGGTTCTTTTCACAGCACTGGCAGGGTTCCGTATCTGTGTCTCAATTTCCCCATCTAGGGATATTGACAGTCACCCTTCTTTTTGCTATCCCCTGTTGAAAACTGCTAGGTATTATTATTTCAAAAACATAGATTTCACTCTCAGGGGTTGTGGTTCTCCTCTCACGTTTTCTAGTCTAAACCAGCAATCACTTTGGCCTTAGCACCATTGGAGTAATTGGGCCAGGTCCCCGGCTGGCGTAAACCCACAAGCTCCAATGAGACCAATGGGCCCCCATTCTACAGTTGATGCAATTTAGCATAACTCCATTGTGGTCTCTGAGTGCACATCCCTAGAGGGTATAAATGAGTGTAGATCCATTGAAGTCAATGGGCCAGATTGCCACCTAGTGTAAATCAATGCAGCTATGTCAGTTTACCCGCACCTGAATATCTGGAACAACAGGAGTTCCTGAGTGAATAAGAACTTCTAGCTGGCCTGACCCTGCCAGCTGTTACTCAGGAGAGTATTTCTTACCCCAGTAATTCCATTGGTGACAATAGAACCTACTCACATGAGTAGGGATTTTCAGGATTAGGATTAGGCCCATCTGAGTGTTTGCAGGATTGGGCCCCTAACTTGGGTGGTTAAAAGAAAGACAAACAAAAAGCCATGACTCCCCACACTCACACTCTGTTTTGCACTGATTTATCTCCCGTGACATTAATAATAACAATATCTAACTCTTATACAGCACTCTTCCTTGATAGATCTAAAAGTGCTTTACCAAGGAAGGCACTATTGTTTTTCCTGTGTTACTAATGGGGGAAACTGAGGCACGAGATGGCAAGTGACTCTCTCAAGGCCACCCAGCACAACAGTGGCAGAGCTGTGAATACTATTTCTATATCCTGAAGCTCAATCTAGTGCCTTAGCCATTAGCCTATAATCCCTAATGCAGCCACTTCTGATTTCCTCCAATGAATGTGATGAGAGAATTTGGCCTGGAAGATCTCGTGTTGTCCCAGTCTGACCCTGTATATTTTTTTGTACAACCAGACAAAGCCTAACGGAGTCAGGCACCAAGCTCCCATTGACATTCTGTGGGACTCAGCACCTAACTCACTTGGGATTCTTTAAAAATCTCAGCTGTACATTTCCTGTGTGGATCCTTTGGGTTAAGATTTTCAGAGATTCACATTCATTGAACTGGGACTCCAAACCCACTAGGCTGGGATTCTCAAAGAGCCCTATGGGAATCAAGCACCCAACTCCCAGGGAAATAAGGGGGAGCTGGGTATCTAATTCCCTTAGGTCCCTCTGAAAATTACACCCTTAGGTGGCTCTGAAAATCACAGCCTGAGAGCTTTGGGGATGTTTAGGATTAGGCTGGCCAGATGCAACACACATGCCTGACTTGAGCCTCATATTTATTTACAGGCAATTTACAGTATGGCTGTCAGCACAGCATTCTGTCCCATTTCTTTATCCTAGCCAGTGGCTCCCAACCCTGATGCAGAGGGATTACTCTCCTTTCTATAGATCACCACAAATGTGAACACCCTTGACCTAAAGGAATCAGCAAGGGCAGTTTTAATGCTTGGGTGATATCCACCCCGGGACAGAGGGCCAGCACACAGCCAATTACACCCTTAAAATAAGTCAGTGATGACTCCTTGGGTGGGTCATCTGTAGAGACAGAACACAAATGCAACCCATTCAACAATTGCACCTGGGTTACAGTATTAACTCCTGTCCTGAAATACATTGGGTACAAGGTTTGCCACAAGTTTGGAGGCACCTAGGAGGATAAGAGAGGGCTGGAACTACAGGATTTAAGTGGTGCAGGGGCCTTGAGTTGTGCAAACATTGACTTTCACACACAACGAATGTACTCCCAATTGCCAGAGGTGCTGAAGCATCTCTCTAAATAAATCCACATGTGATCTCCAAAGTTGAGGGGGGAAAGAAATTATTGTGGAAAAATGCAAGTTCAGAACATGGGGAAATTGTATAAAATTAGTGGAAAAGTCAGAAAATGAAACATCAAATTGCTGTGAAAAACAATGGGATGTGTAGCTCACAGAGCTAGCGTTAGCATTTATTTTATTTAGCAGTAACACAAGGCCTGTATCCTGTAAGACAGCGGCTTCAGCACTTAGCATAAGGTTTGAGGGCCTATGAACTTTGACACAGAAAAATAGCCCAACAGTCAGCCCTAAGTTTTGGGGAACTGGACATAGAGTGTGTAAGGAGGAAGTTTGTCCATAACAACACCAGCCAACCACAGGAACATGAGCTAACACCAGCTTTTGGATTTTTAGGATAGAGCATCCACAGATGTCTGACTGCAAGAGTGCCATGGCAATGAATTGATGTATATAATAATAAGTTAAGATCATTAATATGCTAACCTATAGGGGAAGGGCACCTCAACATTAGTAGGGTGAGGAAATGGGGAGAAATCCCTACTGAATATTCATTAAACATAGTGGCGTTGTATCCCAGGCTGTGGGCATGAGGAAAGAGAGATGTGGCCCTTGGGTGGTGCTGGGATGATGGCCACTGGTGATGATGAAGAAGGTGACGGTGATGAGGAAGACAATGGCTACCATTTCAGGTTGTTCTGCAAGCGATAGTGTGAGTATATGGATGTTCAGATGGACATTCTGTATTATCTCTATCTACCTTGCTGGGTTAGAGTGTTTGCGACTTTGCTAAATGTATTAATAAACTGTTGTAGATATAGAAGGCTTCCCATAGTGTGACTGTTGCAACTGTGTACATCAGGGTTCCCAAATGAACAGTAATTTTAATAATACTGGGCCTGATCTTGGGGCAAGAACCTGTCAAACCTCAGAATGATAGCTGGGAATTCTTAAGGAATCAATGTAATTAACATAAAATTCATAGATTGGGCTACAGATTAAAACTCTTCCACACTTCCCAGAATTTTCATGATTGTGTTTTGTGGTTTTGGACCAATTTTAATGTAGATGGACAGAGCAGCAGAAGGAAATCGGACAGCCCTTGCAGAGTTCATCCTGCTGGGATTTGGGGATCTTCATGAGAGGCAGATCCTTCTCTTTGTGCTGTTTCTAGCTGTCTACATCATGACGTTAGCTGGCAACATCCTCATATTGGCCATCATCTCATGCAGCAGGAGCCTGCATACCCCGATGTACTACTTCCTGGGAAATTTCTCCTTCCTTGAGATCTGGTACACAGCTTCTACCACCTCCAAGATGCTAAGAACTTTACTCACTGCACACGAAGCAATCTCCTTCTTGGGCTGCATCACCCAGTCTTATTTCTTCAGTTCCATGGCTATCACTGAGTGTTTCCTCCTGGCGGTGATGTCTTATGACCGGTATGTAGCCATCTGCAGCCCGCTCCGTTACAGGGCCATCATGAACTCCAAGGTTTGCCTGCAGATGGCAGCAGGTTCTTGGATAAGTGGGTTCCTGACTCCCATAGTAACCATTGTCTTGATCTTCAGGTTGCCATTCTGTGCCTCCAATGAAATTGACCATTTCTTCTGTGACCTAGCACCGGTCATGAAGCTCTCCTGCACTGATGCCCATGTGGCCAAGACAACCACATTCATCATGGCCTCTGTTGTGACCATGGTCCCATTTCTGCTGACTGTAGTATCCTATGCCAACATCCTGTCCACCATTCTCAGGGTCCCTTCCACCATGGGGAAACAGAAAGCCTTCTCCACCTGTTCCTCTCATCTCATTGTGGTGACCTTGTTCTATGGGACCTCAGGCATTGTTTATGTGGTTCCCACGACCAGCCAGTCTCCGGGCCTAAATAAAATGTTCTCCCTGCTGTACATGGTGATTACCCCTATGGTTAACCCCATTATATACAGTCTGAGAAACAAGGAGGTCAAAGAAGCTCTGAGGAAAATTATAAGTAAAAGGCCTAATTGACTGTCTCCATTAGTAACTGGAGGCCAAGTGAGGATTCATCCAGAAGACCCATAATAAACCCAATTCAGTGATCACCATTAAAATGCAGTTACCACAAGCCTGAATCCAAAGGCAGTTGATTTGCTCTCATTCCTTATGCAGATGAAAACCCCTTTGAGGTCTGTGAAATTTTGTGTGATCAAAGACCTAGCCATAGCTCAGCATAGACCTCAGGTTTTGGCCCGTAATTATGTCTAGAGCCAGCTGGAAACTGGGATTATTTTTCCCCCAAGACAATTTTGAATTGTTTTTTTTGGAAAACCCAAAAATGTCCAGCTGAAAGACTAAACTTTTTGGACAAAAGTAAACAAACAAACAAACAAATAAATCTAAGGTTTTTAATTTGCTGATGAATCAATAACTAACTACAACGTATTTTTGTTGTTGTTGGGGTTTTTTTTAGGAAAGCAGATACTTTTTGCAAAACTGTTTGTTTCACCAAAAACCCAATTTTCCTTTAACAAAAATTTTTTGGAGGAAAGATTTTAACCAGCCCTGGTTATTTCCTACCCTACGTACAGGGGAAACTCTTTTTAATCACACTTCAGAGTCACTCAGGGACTGATCCAGTAAAAGAGTCAGCAATTTTTTCAATGGGTTTTGTATCAGAGTTTTAATAATACAGAGATGGGCAACTGTCATCTAGTGATTAGATAGATCGATCGCTAGATAGATCGATAGATAGATCCCTTAGTATGTCTAAAAGTAAATGTGCCAACTCCTGTAATAATACATATGTACCACCAAAGTTATAAATGAGTTGACTTCAACATGTTTGGTTGCTCATTTTGGTCTTGATTATGCTCCCCAACTCTTATTTTACTGTGCTACCTTGAACTGGCCCTAGGCTGGAGTTGCCATGAGTCAGTGGCATGAAACAGAGTGGACTTCTGGGTCAGGAGTTCTCCTGGGCTGGTTACTTATTGCCAGATGCCACTGGTCCTTACAGATCTCCAGGCCCCATGCAGTACTGAGACAGCACTGCTGGGGAAACTGAGGCAAGAACACAAAGGAAGCTCTTAAAATGTACTTCCACAAACACTGACCTTTTCCACCTTCCCTTGTCCCTACTTCCATGCCTCCTTTGTTCTTCCCTTCCCCAACTCCCTTCCTCCTCCCTTCTCTTACCCCTGATCCTCTCCCCCTTACACCCCTGATTCTCCCCCTCTTCCTTCCCCATCCTTCTGTTTGTTTCCTTTCCTTTCTTTCTTCTTCCCCCAGCTCCCTTCCTCATTGCTTAACCTCCTCCCTTTTCCTTCCTCCTCCCTCCACCCTTCCACCTTCCCTTTCTCCTCCCCCTTTCCCTCTTTTCCCCATCCTTCCTTCCCCCTCCCATTCTGTACCCCTCTCACTTCCATTTTCCTTTCCCCAGGCCCCCATGCAACTTCCCACCTTCCCTGCCTGCCTGAAATTCCAGGAAGAAGGCAGCATGGAAACAGGGGGAAGGGGAAGATAGATAGAAGGAGGAAGGGGAGATGGAAGGGTGAAAAGTGGAGATGGGGAAGGTGGAATTGGGGAGGTAGGTGAAGGTGGCAGGGGAAGGGAAGTTGGGAGGGGAGGCATGGGGAACGGATAAGGGTGAAGGAGGAAAGACGGGCATCTCTAGGCACCTTGATACCTTTGCAAATCTGTGCCTCAGTTCTTCCTCTATATTCGGGGTTCATCACACTGACTACCTCCCGGGGGTGTGGTGAGGATACATGCGTTAGAGATTGTGAGGTCTCAGATACTTAGCTGGAGGGGGCCAGATATTGGCAGGGGAAGCTTATTGTCAGCAGAGATGTTGTTCTTCTAAGCCGAGCATAGCACCAGGACAGTCTATTCCCTCTGCTGCAACGTGTCTTTGACTGAAATCATTTTCTTGGGTGTCACCACTGCCTTAGGTTACATGAAGACAAGCAAGTAAAATATTACATGGCAACCAAACAGGGTTAGCAGGACGCCCTCAAACAGGGCACCACTATCAGGTAGTGAGAACCCCTGGGCTTGTGCAGCTTGAATTAAACAACTAGAGGCCTTAGGTCAAAGGCTGTGGCAGACTTACAACCCCTTGTGCATGGTCTAGACACTAGAGGGGAGAGAGACAACATCATTTTCTTCACCTGGGTTACACTTGGATTGGCCCTCAGGAGGCAGATGATGTGTTTGGCCCTGGAGGGGAGATTCAGCTACTGTATATCCTGCCCTTTGAGGTCAGAGGTGGTAGTGAATGGACTTGGTTTATTCTGGGGAAACTCACTCTTTGTCCTTCTTGTTGTCATCTACTCCTCATTCCTGTGCCCGCATGTAGCCCAAGGCCCAGTGAGCTCAGTTGGATTTCCCCAAAATGCAGGTGTGCACCAAAATGAAGCAATTCATAGAAGGGCCTAAGTTTCCAACTTGTCAGCAACCACTTTCCCTCAGCCCAATATCTGCCATTACATCAAGCAGCCACAGGAAAACAACTATTAAAAATAATCAGAAATGCGTTTAACTCGTGATCATTAGGTTTCAGAGTTAACATACAATGAGATGAGCTGCATCCCTAGAGTTGGATGCTTATGCAGAAATGACAGCAGTGGAATTCAATTAATGATCATTAGGTTTCAGAGTTAACACAACATTAAGATGATTGAAGAAAGAGCACAACTCTCTTACACTATGTCTACACTTAAACCACTGTGGTGGCACAGCTGAAGCTGCGCTGCTGCAGTGCTTCGGTGTAGACACTCACTACAGTGATGTGGAAGAAAACAAAATCATCATTGATAAAGTTTGCAGATGGCACGGAGGTTGGGGGAGCGGTAAACAATGAAGAGGACAGGTCACTGATTCAGAGAGATCCGGGTTGCTTCGGTCACAAGAAAAAAATACACATTTATATACAGCTACATATAAATATCTACATCTAGAACAAAGAATGCAGGCCACACTTACATGCTGGAGAGCTCTATTCCGGGAAGCAGTGACTGAAGAAGATTTTGCAGGGAAGGCCGGATAACCATCTGAATATGATCTCTTGGTGTTATAGTGTGGCTCAAAGGGCTAATAAGGGCCTGGGATGCACAAACAGGGGAATCTCAAGTAGGAGCAGGGAGGTTATTTTACATCTGTATTTGTCACGGGTTCGACCACTGCTGGAAACCTGTGTCCCATTCTGGTGACCACATTTCAAAAAGGAGGTTGATAAATTGGAGAGGGCTTAGAGAAGAGCTGTGAGAATGGTTAAAGGATTGGAAAATCTGCCTTCTAGTGATAGACTCAGGGAGCTCAATCTGTTTAGCTTAAGATAGAGAAGGTTAAGGGGTGACTTGATTACAGTCTGTAAGTACCTACGTGGGCAATAAATATTAGATAATGTGTTCTTCCGTCTATCAGGGAAAGATCTAACATTATGCAATGGCTGGGAGTTGAAGCTAGACAACTTCAGACTAGAAATAAGACTTCTTCTTTTTTTTAACAGCCAGCTTAATTAACTATTGGAACACATTTAACCAGGTTCATGGTGGATTCTCGATGGCCGACCATTTTAAAATCAAGATTCGATGTTTTTAATAAAAGATATTCTCCAGGAATTTCTGTGTGGAAGTTCCTCTGGCCTTCACCAGCCTGGAGGTCAGCCTAGATGATCACAGTGGTCCCTTCTGGCCTTGAAATCTATGAATCTGTGAAACCACTGTCTATTCAGGGCAGAGCTACTACACAGGGGTAAGACCCACAGCCAGCAGCTGGCGTGGGATTTTTATAGAGGCCTGGAAGTATGTGGCACAGAATTGTGATCACTTAAGGAGGATCATTTTTTTCAGAGTGGTGGATGAGGCCCTAAATGGATAAAAAGAAAAAATAAGGCTGGGATTTCAGAGGATCCGAAAAGAGAGAGGTGCCCAACTCCCATTGGAATTCAATAGGACTTGGAGATAGAATTTTCAAAAGTGCCACGAGCCAGATATTTTAGGTGACTATTGGGATTTTCAAAAGCACCTAGGCACCTAAAATTCACTGATTTCAATGGGTTTTAAGCATTTAGATACTTCTAACAATTCCATTAATGCACCAGGGGCTAGATTCATAAAGGGACTTAAGTACCTAACTGCCACTTCAGAATCCAGAATCAGGCCCCACTGGGATTCACAGGAAGCCCACTCGGCTGCTGCCGAACCCTGTTGTTGCCTAAATTTGCTTGTCTCCTAGATTTTTGCACCTAGCTGTTCCCTACATGCTGATTTTTCTGCCTGTGCACATTCGCACTGACTGCTGTCCCACTCTAGGCACCTGGAGGTCTAGAGCGATGCACAGACTGGTGGAAGACAGGTGTTCCTATCTTCATGCTCAGAGATCACCTCCCAGATCCGGACCCAAACACAAACTCATAAACAGAGCAGTTGGAGAGGGGCTCCTTCATAACTGTTATCCCAGCGGTTACCTGGGATGTGGCCCAGTTCAAGCATCCCCTTCATCTGACAGGGAGAAAGGATTTGAATAGGGACCTTCTACTTGTAATTTGAGTATCCTCACCACTGGCCTATGGCAGGGGTTCTCAAACTTTTTCTTTTTGAGGCCCCTCCAACATGCTATAAAACTCCACGGCCCACTTGGGACACAATAACTGGTTTTCTGCATATAAAAGCCAGGGCCAGCATTAGGGGGTAGCAAGCAGGGCAATTGCCAGGGGCCCCAAGCCACAGGGGCCCCCGTGAAACTACGTTGCTCAGGCTTTGGCTTCAGCCCCGGATGACAGGGCTCAGGGTCCCGAGCTTCAGCCCAGTGTGGAGGAGCTTCGGCTTTCTGCCCTGGGCCCCAGCGAGTCTAAAGCTGACCATGCTTGGAGGACCCCCTAAAACCTGCTCACGGCCCCCTAGGGGGCCCCAGACCCCTGGTTGAGAACCACTGGGCTATGGGATATTCTGATCTGTAGATGGTGGTGGTGGGGTGTCCCTCAGTCTCTCCTGTTGAAACTGTTCCACTTTGGATGAGTCAATTAA